TTTCGTGGGACCAGAAGCCCTTAGCCTTTTTCGTGTGAACAGTTCGCGAAGGTTGCTCGCGCTTGCTTGCTTTCACTTTCGTTCACGACGCTGAGTGGTTAGGATTAGAATGAGTAGCTTTGTCCATCCTAGCCAATTTCCCGTTGCGCAAGCTGTGCCCCGACCTTTCACACACAGAGCTCTGAACACTCTATTGGAGTTTGCAGTAGGGGATTAAGCTCTCTAATGATTGTTGGGCTGGGCACTTGAAGCGTTTTCAGTTGATCGACGCAGGAAAACATGACTGCCAGAGAGCCCTTTGGACCGACTTCTCCTTCTACACGAGCCTCTTGGGTTCGAAGTCAATGTCACAACACCTACCTCAGAGCTATGGGTGGATTTTTCCATAAAGGACTACCACTGAGGGGTGGTCTTCTGCGTGAGCCCTGCTAGATGTACCGTATTATCCTCGCGTCGAAATGTACTAGGGTGCGTACGTTTGAGGCTGGGTTGTGTCACCCTCTTGGATTGTAGCCCAGGATGTTGGTAAAGTGCCAGTGCCAGTTCGAGTCAAGCCTGGTCGTTTTATCTCCACCACCCAGCTGGCATGGGTGAGAATCCCTAGCAGGATGACATTGGAAAGCAGTGTCCCCGGTTGGGCAAGCCATCCACCTTCAAAAATACCATGCAGCAGTGGCAGGGAGTTCCCATGGCAAGCTTTTGCGCAACGCCCCCCCGAAGAAGACTTGGACCTGCAGACCATCTGGGACGGCCTTGTTCAATGCAGCGGTTTCTGTGGGCATGGATGGCAAAGTGTAGCAAAGATGGAATGGATTTTGACCTTGTTCAACATTTTTTAGACACTGATAGATCACAGGAGCCAAGTAAACTGACATTTCCCAACTTCCCAACCATATGCAAGAGGGATTGCAAGCCCAAGAGCTGCCATCAAACAGGATTACGACATATGCTATGTGACACCCACCGTCTTTGCGCAGTCTGTTTTTTCCTATATACAGCCGCTCATGAATCACCGGACTTGTTTTGCTCACGGCCATTGTGTCACCGAGGTCGCCATCAGAGAGGCGGCGATCTTTTTGCTGGAAAGGCGCTACATGGGCGAAGGGCCGTGCTGTGGTGATGTCCCACTGGGAGAGCGAAGGTGGTCGCTATACAGAGGAAAGAGTGAGATCCAGGTGGGTTGTCGTTGTTCCTAGTGATCCTAGTGTCATGATACTGAGTACTACAATGAGTGGCTCCGTGTCTGCAACACGAGAGTTCAATCCGTGCATTTCTTGCTCAGTCCATGCATTGAGTTTGGCTCCAAGAGCAGCGCAATGCTTTCAGTGCATGACGCAGTTTTTCGGACTGACCTCATCAGGCTCAGCGAAGCCTACCCAACCCGAACAATTAAAATTGCCACACCCATGTGATTATATTCAAAATGATGTGTATATACATGTTTGTCTCCCGCTCTGGTCCTGATGCCTGATGCGTCGGTCCCTCCAGCTGAAGTCCTTCTAAGATGAACTGCTTTACAAGGTGAAACTGAACTGTAGTGTAGCGTAGAATTCTGACTCGAAGGCCGCAATGTTGCGGCCAGGTGTGCCTGTAGTCCTTATATTTACGGTTTTGTTTGGATGGCAGTTGAGATGCTTGGTGCTGAGTGCTTTGGGCGGACCAGCCAGGCCTATCTTGGTCACGCTGGCCATGAACTGTCCTTGCTATCTGGAAAGCGTCGCGGAATCATCCTGAGCGAACTTTGCAAAAAGGAGCTGGCCCGACTAAATCCGCACAGCAAAATCGAAAAGCCTACTCGGGGGAATTGTTGTAATGGAGCTCGCAGGTCAGCCAACAATGCCCTGTGTGACTTCACTTTGGACGGCCGGAAAGTCGAGTGCAAAAGTGCAGAGATGTCTTGGAGCAAGAGCTGGAAATGTTGGCGTGCTCACTTTGCGCACATCAAGCTGCCGTACCCAAATTTTCGGGATCGGGCTCCATTTGATGATTTGTATCTCGCGCTGTTTAGCCCAGATAGCTTGCACATCATCAAGCATGACCTTCACACCGGAGTTTCCACAGTTGGAAAGCGAACAGGAAGCAGCGGTCATGACATTGATGTCACAGGTGCTTCAGGACAAGAACGTTGGCAAATTGCTCTGTCTCAAATTCTCGACAAGTTCCTGGCTCCAGGTCGCTGCAAACTTATGGCTCAAATTGATTTATCAGGCGTTGAGGTCAGGAACTGGCTGAGAAAGCAAATGGAAGGAATGACATCACACCAGGATGAAGCATACCAGGGGGTGCCGCTGAAGCATGTGACACCAAGTTTCCGTGGTTTGTGTCTTGAGGAAATTGCCTTTGAAGTGGATCAAATTCTGAATCCAAATTGTTCATTTGCACGAGCCTCTTCGGAAGTAGACTGGGTTCGTTCAGGAGTGAGAGTGGAATTCAAGAGTGCGCAAATGTGTTACATCAAAGTGCCAGGGTACTGGCGTTGCTCCTTCTCGAACATCAAATGTGCAGGTGCCGGTGTTCGTGACTGCGATCTATTTGATGAGCTTTGGCTTGCAATCTATAGCCCTCGTGGCATTCATATCTTTAAGCACCCTGGTGGCAAAGTTCGTTTCAGCCTCACTGGCGTGCAAGAGCATGAGGGGCAAGGAATACATTTGTTCGCCAGCCAAAGTGTGCTCGATGTCAGGGAGGCCCTTGATGAAATGCTCCACAAGATGGAAAATTGGGGCTGCCAACCTCTTGCAACTATTCTTTGGTGATTCTATTATGGTTCTTACCATCTTCTGAATGATACTGCACAGACCAGCCAGGCCAATCGAACGCAAAAGGGAGCTAGCCCGGCTGTATCCGCACACCAGGGGCCTCAGCGCTTAGCTTCACAGGCGGTGTGCGATTTTGTACGGATGGCTGCAAGCAACAACTTGTCCTGCATGGAACCTCTGAAGAAAAGGGAGCCAACCTAGTGTGTTGCCGCTCAGTTCGTGAAGGAGCCTCGGAGGCGTTCAGATTGGACGAGGTGACACATGGGGCTCATGCGGCAGTGTGGCTTCTTTGCTGTAGGAATTTATAGCAGTTTCTGCTTGATTTTGTTCCTCGGTGAACCCCCGGATGGTGGAACCTCCCAGTGATGAGTTTTTTCAGCAACCTAAGCTAAACCATCCAGTGCACCTCTCATCACCTCTCATATGCTCTCATAGCCCAAGTGGTCAGTCTGTTGGACGTGTTTTTACAGTATTGGCCCTGATATGCCTCCACCTATTCACTGAATTCATTCACACCCTTCTTGGCTCAGCACTTTTCACCGGGCAACTGGGGTGCGGAATGTCCTGGCTGCCAAGCTGCAATGCTGCAGCCACGTGTGCCAGCTACGATGGCGAACGTGTTTGAAAGGCAGTTGCGGTGTTTGGTGCTGAGTGCCTCACAGTTCCAGCACATTCTGAGTGATCTTGGGCGAACCAGCAAGGCCTATGTTGGTCGTTCTGGCCATGAACTGTTTTTGCTTTCATCCAATCGTCGTGGAATGATCCTGCAAGAGTTTTGCAAGAAGGAGCTGGCCCAGTTGCATCCGCACAGCACAATCGCAGAACCTACCCGAGGGAATCGTTGCAATGGAGCTCAAAGGTCAGCTTCACAGGCGGAGTATGACTTTAGTGTGGATGGGCGCAAAGTTGAGTGCAAGAGTGCGCAAATGTCATGGCAGAGAAAGGGACAACATTGGGGTGTACAATTTCGTGGCATCAAGCTGCCGTGGCCAGGTTTTCGGGACCGGGCCCCATTTGACGATTTGTATCTCACAATGTTCAGCCCAGATAGCTTGCACATCATCAAGCATGACCTTCGGACAAGAGTTACCTCAGCTGGCAAGTCGACTGGAAGCAGTGGCCATGCCATTTGTGTCCGCGCTGCTGCCGCGCAAGAGTGTTGGCAAACTGCACGATCTCAAATCCTCAACAAGTTCCTGGCTGCAGGTCCCTGCAAACTTGTGGCTCAGTTGGACTTGTCTGCCGTAGAAGTTAGGGCCATTCTGGCACGTCAACTGGAAGGAATGGCAGCACTCCAGGACTACGAGTTCCAGGGGGTGCCATTGAACCAAATGGCACCACAGCTGCGCGGCGTGCGAATTGAAGAAATAGCATTTGAAGTGGATCAAATACTCCACCCAAATTGCTCATTTTCACGAACGTTTTCGAAAGTAGACTGGGTACGTGATGAGGTCAGAGTGGAAGTCAAGCACGGGATGATGCGTTTCAACCAAGGCAGGAATTCGTGGCAATGTTCTTTCTCAAACATCAAGTGTGCCAGCCGTGGTGTTCGTGACTGCGACCTATTTGATGAGCTTTGGCTTGCAATCTACAGCCCCCTCGGCATTCATATTTTTAGACATCCTGGTGGCCAAGTCCGCTTCAGCCTGACAGGTTTGAAAGAGCAAGATCGTGGACAGGAAATGCACGTCCTGGGCAGCCAAAAGCAGCTTGATGTCAGGGGGGCGCTTGATCAAATGCTCAAGAAGGTGGAGAAATGGGGCTGCCAACCTCTTGCAACTATACTTTGGTGATTCACGATTCCTTGCGTAAGATGCCTTTTCTTTGTTTTCCGGCAGCCGCGGTGCTCCAACTAACGACACCTTTTAGCAGGCAAAGGCAACTTCTACAAGGCCATTGGATGCTCAGCCGGAAGTCAATAATGCGTAAACATTACGCTGTGTGCATGGCATCCTGCCTGATCGGAACCCCAAGGCCTTTCCTGTCAAAATGGACTGTGCAAAGGCTGTTCAAGCTTGGGCGCATTCTATTGGCATTCGTGGGAACTGCCTAGGGGCCTAGCAGAAGACACAAGACAGTCCATTCAATACCGTACACCCCTTTTGGCCCACCGGTTGCTGTTGAATCTTGGCACCAACCTATACCGTCGCACAGCAATGCATCCTTCGGGGTCAACCACAGCCGAGCGTCTACCCTCCGCATCGTTGAGGCCACGAGTGCGAGAGGGAGACCCTTTTGAATGGACTTGAACATGGGTGTTCTTGATCTGAACATGGATGGATTGGTTTCCGGGTACAGGCCCGCAAAGGTGATAAAGAGAAGAAGGGGTGGAAAGTCAGGTGCTAGGCAGCTGGTCTACCTGAGCCTTTGTAGAAATACTGTGCCATGCCCGCGTCCGAATGTAAAGCCTGTTGATTCCAGCATGAAAGAACGAGTACGGGGCAGAAGAACTGTCAGTACGGTTGGCCGACCCTCTTGTGCAATTTTTGTTTGCTCCAGCTGCAAGGTGCTTGACGACAGGGATGCCCTTGACAGGGATTCCCTGGACGAAATGCTCCACAAGATGGAGGCATGTGGCTGCCAACCTCTTGCAACTATTCTTTGGTGATTTCCTGGTTCTGCAACTCTACATTTAAGTCCTTTCTTTCTTTGTCCCATCCAGTCGTGGTGCTACAAGCGTGACGCATACATTGATGTTGCTTGCAATGACGGTCTTGATTTGGACCCAACACCCTCAAGATGCCATGCTTATTGGGTTTGTATGCCGATGTGTGAACATTGTGGGACGCATGTTACCTTACTGTACCGCAACGAACCTCAAGGCGTGTCATGTTAAAATGAACCGTGTGAAAGCCAGCTGCTCAAGACTGAGGACCAGCCGCTTCCATCGTGTGAAGTGGCGCGACTATAGTTCCTTCTGCGCAAAGCTACTAGTGCAAGAAGAGGTTTGTAGGCTGTTGAGGCATTCATTGTGGTCTTGAGCCCGGAATGATTGCTACATATGATAAGGTGGTTCAGGGGCAGGTTTGGAACATTTGTTTTGGAGAGTCATTTTTTGTTTTGTCGCACCTCTGTTGTTTAGACATGCTGGTGTTTCCAATGTATTGAGCATGAATTGACATGACATCGTCCTTCGCTAGCTATGTGTAATACAGTATAAGTATTACATAGTATTACCACTAGAGTCCCAAGTGGTCTGAGTCTAGGTGAAACAATGCCATTCAATTGTGTCTATGGCCACCCTGGAAACTCCGTGCACAGTCTCTCGACCATTGTGTTCATTTAGCATGCGCATTTGTCCCAAAGGCCCAGGGGAGCCCTTAACCTGGACTCATCCAGCAAAAATAAGAACCTTACAAACTATAGCGGGTTAAGTTTTAAGGTTTGTGATTTGGTGGGTGGTGGCCTCACCTGCTGACAGGGCTTCGTTTGACCTCCAGGCACGGTCAGCGGCACTTCGACGGCATAGCCCACCACCTGGATGGCGGACCAGGCCAGGGCAGCGACTGCAGCCGGGACGAGAGACACTGGCAGAGCAGGGCATGTTGGAAATGTTACAGGAAGTGTTTGTTCCTAGCTTTGCCGATCATGTCAGTTTTATTTGCCCTGCTCAGTCTTTTGGTCCTGCTTATTTGCCGATCATGTCAATTTTATTTGCCCTGTGGTGGGTGGTTGTTCCTGGAAACTGGCTGGCTAAATACGTCCAATAAGTACTGATTCTTTGGGGCTAACTCATTGCATGGGTGTTGCATGCAACTCCCACTTCAATGAGTTCAGACCTCGAAAAAGTAAGAGAACCACACACTGCATTGTAAACTGCAGGTCCTGCAATTGCCGTTTGTGGAGCTTCACCTGAAGCTGAGCGATTTCTATTGTGTCAATGTGATTGAGGTACCTTGCATCAGTGAGGAATCCCGGGCTCAAAATCCTCATGCTGCATGCAGCTTTACCAGCAGCAACTCAAGTACTTCCATTGGGTTTCCGATGGCGACAGTGGAGGTCTTTGGTGCTGAGTGCCTCCCAGTTCCTGCACATCCTTGAAAAGCCAGATCTGACGAGCCAAGGCTACATTGGACATGCCGGACATGAGTTATCCCTGCTGTCCGGGCAGCGTCGTGGAAGAATCCTGGAGCGATTTTGCAGGAAGGAGCTGGCGCGGCTAAATCCCAACAGCAAAATCCAGGAGCCTGCCCCCGGAACTTGTTGCAACGGGGCGCGCAGGTCCATGTCTCAGGCTGAGTATGACTTTTGTATCGATGGCCGTAGAATTGAATGCAAAAGCGCACAGAGGTCTTGGGACAATGCTAACAAGCATTGGCGCGCTCATTTTCACAAAGTCAAACTGCCCTGGCCAGGTTTTCGGAACCAGGCGCCATTTGATGAGTTGTATCTCACTTTGTGCAGCCCGGACAGTTTGCACATCATCAAGCATGACCTTCAGAGCAGAGCGTACACAGCTGGCAAACGAACAGGAAGCAGTGGTCATGTGATTGTTGTCCAAGGTGCACGTGCGCAAAAATGTTGGCAAAGTGCACGATCTCAAATACTCGACAAGCTCCTGGCCGCAGTCACTGCAAACTTGTGGCTCGCTTTGATTTATCAGCAACAGAAGTATGGGCCTTTCTGGCACAGCAATTGGAAGGACTGGCAGCGCGCCAGGACCACGAGTACAACAGGGTACCGCTGAATGATATCGGGGCAGAGGCGCGAGGCTTTCGAATTGAGAAGATAGCGTTCGAAGTGGATCAGATTCTCCATCCACATGTGCCTTTTAAACTTTCAAGAGCTTGTTCCGATGTAGACTGGTTTCGTGGAGAAGTGAAAGTGGAAAACAAGCATGGACAGATGCTCTTTGATCCAGATAGGGGGTGGTACTGTAATTTCTCATGGATCAAGTGCGCAAGTGCTAATGTTCGTGAACACAATGTTTTTGATGAGCTTTGTCTTGCCATCTACAGCCCCTTTGGCCTGCACTTCCTGAAACATCCTGGCGACTTCGACCCAAGCGTGACGCGGGGTCTGCGTGGAAAACAGTTGAAGCTTCGTGCACCCAGGCGTATGCTTGATGTCAAGGAGGCACTTGACCACATGCTGAAAAAGATGGAAGTTGATTGGAGCTGCCAGCCTCTTGCCACAGTTCTTTGGGACACCGGCGGTTGATTCCAGTTGCAAAACCCGCCCTTCAGCATGCTTCCTTTTTCTTCTAGCTATGGTGGCCATACCAATTGTACACAATTTGTCGACCTAGCTGAGGCGGTAGGAGATGTATACAAATGATTTCGTGGGATCAGAAGCTCTTGGTCTTTTTCATGCAAAAAGTGCGTGAAGGTTGCGAGAAGATTGCTCGAGCTCACTTTCTTTCACTTTCCTTCATGACGCTGGATGGTTAGGATGCGTTTTGTCATGTTTTGTTTATCCTCGCTAATTTCCTGTAGCGCAATCTGTGCCCTGACCTTTCACACACGATCGCAGGGCTGCAGTAGGGGGATTCAGCTCTCTTGTTGGGCTGGGCTGTTGATTGAGACAGGAAAGCATGATTGCGAGAGCGCCCTTTGGATCGACCTGAAGGAGGGCATCGCGGAGAATGTCTCCTTCTACACGAGCCTCTTGGGTTCGAAGTTGATGTCGCAACACAGGTGGTAAGCAGCTGGTAGTCCACCTCAGCGAAGGGATTTCTTTCAGCGGTTAGGGTACAGTACGTTTGAGGCTGGGTTGTGACGACCCTCTTGGGAGCCCAGGATGTTGCTGGAAGAGTGCCAGTTCAAGTCAGGCCTTGTTGATGTTGTTTCTACCACCCAGCTGGCATGGGTGAGAATCCCTAGCAGGATGGCCTTGGAAAACAAAGTCCTTGATACGGCAAGCCATCCATCTTCAAAACAAGCAGTGTATATTAGCTGCAGGGAGTTCCATATGCCCATCCTTGGCGCAACGCCCCCCTTCCCCACAATGCAAGCGGTAACACCGGTCGACCGAGGAAGTTCCTCATGCAAGCGCAAGACCTCCAGAAGAAGACTTGGACCTGCAGGCCATTTGGGACGGCTTTGCTCAATGCAGCGATTTCGGTGGGCGCGGCAACATTGAAAGATTTTGACCTTGTTCAACGGTTCTGGAGACTGATAGGTCCAGAGGTGCCAAGTATTGAATGATATTCCACAACCATATATATATATATATGATTGCAAGCCCGAGAGCTCCCATCAAACAGGATTTTGGCATATTTTGACATATGACATATGCTATGTGACACTGGACTAGTGCTCCCGGAAAAAACCGGACTAGTGCTCACACTGGGCCAACGGGTCACCAAGGTCAGCGCCAGCGAGGCGGCGGTTTTTT